CTTCCTTCCTTCCTTCCTTCCTTCCTTCCTTCCTTCCTTCCTTCCTTGCCATCCTACGCAGCTACAGAGACTGCATCCACAGGATGGGTCCCGGCTGAAACCCAGCTCTGACTCCTCCAACACGGTATCTGCTTGGCAGCCACTCACAGGGCCTCTCCTTGTTTTGTTCTGAAACAGCTATAAAGAGAGTGAAAAAATGAAAATTCACACCAATGCCAAGAATGAAGCTGATAGATGACCCAATGCTGGAATCTGGGAGCAATCTCAATTAATTAAAGGCAGATGGTGGTGGATGAAGAAAGCCTATCCGGGTTTTACCTCCAGAAACAGTTCTTTGTCTGACAGACGGAAAGATCACCAAAGAGGGGGAAAGGGAGGAAGAAGAGGAGGAGATGACAGCAAGACAATGAGCAGAAAACAAACGGACAGAAAGCATGGGCAGGGAGGGGAAATTGAAAGAAGGCAAGGCTGCAAGCCATTTTAGTGCCTCTGTGAACTTGGATTTTTACCTAACTCAAATCGCTGATGCAGAGAATCGGAAAACCGGGCGGTGGTGGCAGGAAAGGCTAACCAGCTCCACAGACTGAGCCTGAGAAAAGGGATGGCAGAGGGAGTAGAGCTCCAGCTGCCTGATATGGGGACCCAGCCCCAGGGCCATGCAGGGATCTGCAAGAGGCCAGGCCATAAGCATATGAGGGCTGAAGCCCTCACATCTGCTTAACACCCCGCCCTCTTCCCAGCAGCTGAGAAACAATGGGAATAACAGGCTCAGGTACCTCTAAAAAGACATGGCTTCCGTGAAGCTGGAGAGGAGCTGAGGCTGAACTCCAAGGCCATGGGCTATGTAAGAGTTGGGAAAATAAAAACTAAAGCAGCACCATCACCAGCCATGTCCAAAGCAGCGGGGAGAATGATGTTGTAGAAGGTGACTCCAATGCCTAGATATGTCTTTGTAATACATAGGAATACATATGTATTTCATGATAAGAAAATTGTACACACAGATCACAGATCGGCAAAACAACAATACAAAGAAATGGGCAGATGATCACTGACTAATGTCCACAGAGTCTGTCTTCAGGACAGCACAAGAATTTCATACCTAGTTAGACAGCCTTCCCACATACACTGCTGAAAGAGAGAGAGAGAGAGAACATTCTCAAGTGTGTAGAGCTCAGAAAATAATTCAGAATTTGCTTTCTAGCCACCTATAAAATGGATTTTTAAAATGAGGGTTTTAAGAGAGAAAGTTAAGCTATAAACACGATGTGCCCCCCATGTCATTAAATGTAAGAGTTTGAAATTTGGTTCTAAAACAAGGCAAAATCAAAACAGTGTTTAACACTAACAATATCTGATTATAAGAATTTAGTTGAAACTGTAGACCGTGTTAACAAAAAGCGGTAGAATAAGGCAGGGAATCAAGCAGCTCAAATTAAAATGTCAAAAATGTTATTTTAAGCTTGACTCTGCCAAATAAGATACTTCTTTTGAAATACCACAAAGCACCAAAGTACTCAAAAAATAAATCATAAATAAAATTATGTCAAAAGATAAGCCAAAGAAAACAGAAAATAGAAAAAGGCATGTTTGATATATTAAGATCACAAAAGAGACACGGGCAAGGTGGCTTGTTGTAACTTTTATAAAAACGTTTTTGCGTGTGACATTTAAAAAAAAAAATCACAGATCCCCACAACTATTTGATGATAAAATGGTGAAAGCGAAGGATCTAACACTCCTGTTCAAAAAGTGATTTCACAATACTCGGTCACTGCTTAGAGCGGTGTTGAAACTTACGCTTGTGTGCCAAGTTAACTGCATCTAGGATCACCTAGGAGGGGCCTGGCCGGAGGTTAAGGGTGCCTACATTCTCAGTGTCTACACTGACAGCTCACAACCACCTGTAACTCCCACTGCAGGAGACCTGACTCCCTCTTGTGGCCTCCAGGGGCACTGCACTCAGTGGCACACGCACAGAGACACACCTCTAGGAATGCACATGGTGGAGGAGAGGAGGCCCACCGACAGCGTTATCACTGTCCAGCAGCCAGGGGCTCAGAGACAACGGAAGGAGGAGAGTGGTCACTGTCCCCTATGCTTGCTGATGGGACCCCCTGGACAGCCCTGCCTCACCACACCTTGATGCATTGACCCCACTGAGGTCCTGAGCCCAAATACAGCCATCCTCCTTTCAAGACGCTTTGTCAGGTACTTTGTAATATTGACAAGAGAGGTAACTTATGCACATGGAAAAGGGAAAA